CTGATCAGTTCCTTGTGATTCAGGACCGCGCTTCGCGGACGATGATTGGAGCTGGTAAACGAGACAATGGAACCTACCGTTTTTGCAGAATGGAGTCGGTAGCGTTAGTCACAACAAAGGAGATGAAGGCTTATGAGTTGTGGCATAATAGGCTTGGACATCCATCTGCGAGAGTAGTTGGTTCACTTCCGCAAGTGTCTGTTTCTGTTGATTCTGATTCTTTCAATAAAGCGTGTGATGTATGTTTCCGCGCTAAGCAAACAAGATCGTGTTTTCCTACTAGTGATAATAAAACAACATCCGTTTTTGAGCTTATTCATTGCGATCTTTGGGGTCCGTATCGAACTCCGTCTTCTTCTGGTGCTCGTTATTTTCTAACGGTCGTTGATGATTTCTCCCGTAGTGTATGGATTACTCTTCAACATGACAAAACTGAGACATCATCTAATCTAAAAAATCTGATTGCAATGGCCGAGAGACAATTTTCGAAGAAAGTTAAACGCATCAGAAGTGATAATGGGACTGAGTTCACATGTTTGGGAGCATTCTTTCGCAGTCAGGGAATTATTCATGAGACATCTTGTGTAGCAACACCACAACAGAACGCCCGTGTTGAGAGAAAGCATCGACATATTCTCAACGTAGCTCGCGCTTTACGTTTTCAGTCGCATTTGCCTATAACCTTCTGGGGAGAATGTATTCTCACAGCTGGATATTTGATCAACCGTACTCCGAATTCAGTGATTAATGGGGTCACGCCATATGAGAAGTTACATGGTACTGCTCCAAGTTTTGATCATTTAAAGGTGTTTGGGAGTCTTTGTTATGCGTACAATCAAACGCATAATGGAGATAAATTTGAGTCTCGGAGTCGTAAGTGCATTTTTGTGGGATATCCATACGGGAAGAAGGCATGGCGACTCTATGATCTTGATACAAATGTTTTCTTTGTATCCAGGGATGTTCGATTTTGTGAAACAGAGTTTCCTTATGATGATGCTGCAATTGATCGTGGTTCAGTCGATCCCAACAGAGAAGAAGGAGAGGCGTTATGGGCTCCTTTCTCCTCTAGCCCAGCTGAAGATGTTGATATACGGCCTTTATCCTCTCCTACTTCTTCTCTCGGCCCAACACAGATAGAAAGCCCATTACCATCGTCCTCCTCTGCTCTCGATCCAGTGCTCGACGATCCTCTTCCGTCTCCCTCACCTTCGATTACTCGAATTGCTACACCATCTACATCACCGGTTTCTGCTCCGGTGGTCTCACCTGTCACCTCTCCCTCTTCGTCAGATGCTGAGGACGAAAACGACCAACTACCAGAGGCGGTTCCTCTTCGCCGTGGTAATCGACCTCGACAGCCACCAATCAAATTCCGTGACTATCAAACTAATACAGCTCAGATAAGGATGTTGGGTACGTCAAAATCTTTGTATCCAATTCAAAATTATGTGAGTTGTGCACGTTTTTCATCCACTCATCGTGCGTATTTGGTGGCCATTACGGATGTCTTTGAGCCAAAGACATATAATCAAGCAGTTAAGAGCAAAGTTTGGACAACTGCTATGGATTCTGAGGTTCGTGCTTTGGAGGAAAATCAGACATGGACGCTTGAGGATCTTCCTCCTGGCAAGAAAGCAATAGGCTCGAAATGGGTTTACAAAGTAAAACACAATGCAGATGGGACTGTTGAACGCTACAAAGCGCGTTTGGTAGCTCTTGGTAATAAACAAATCGAAGGAGTTGATTATGGAGACACGTTTGCACCGGTAGCTCGGATGCAAACTGTGCGTATGTTTCTTGAAGTTGCTTTGGGTAACGCTTGGCCAGTCCATCAGATGGATGTCCACAATGCGTTCCTACACGGGGATCTCTCAGAGGAGGTCTACATGAAGCCTCCCCCAGGTTATTTTACTAATGGTGAAAAGCTGGTTTGTCGACTTCGGAAGTCTCTCTATGGTCTTAAACAAGCACCTCGTTGTTGGTTTGAAAAGTTGACAACTGCTCTTCGTGACTATGGCTTTCTTCAGTCTCTTTCGGATTACTCCCTATTTGTTTTTGACAAAGGAGGGATACACATTAACATATTGATCTATGTTGACGATATGATTTTGTCTAGTAACTCGACTGAGGCGCTTTCTGGTTTCAAAAGCTATTTGGCGTCGTGTTTTAAAATGAAAGATTTAGGCGCTCTTAAGTATTTTTTGGGCATCGAAGTCTCGAGAAGTTCACAAGGTTTCTATTTAAGTCAGCGGAAATATGCTCTTGAAATAGTTGCTGATGCTGGATTGCTAGGTTGTAAACCAGACGCCTTTCCTCTAGAACAGCACAACAAGCTTGCGTTGTCTACTTCTTCTCTCTTACCCGAACCGGAGCAGTATCGTCGTCTGCTAGGTCGTCTACTATACTTAGCTGCTACACGGCCGGATCTCACTTTCAGTGTTCAGTTTCTCGCTCAATTTATGAAAGAACCACGCGAGGATCACTGGGAAGCTGCGCTTCGTGTTGTTCGCTACATAAAGGGAAATCCAGGCCAAGGTATTTTGTTGAGCGCTAAGAGAGATTTTCAGATTACAGGCTGGTGTGACTCTGATTATTCGACTTGTCCCCTCACAAGAAGGTCAGTCTCTGGTTATTTTGTTCAAGTGGGCACATCACCAATATCATGGAAGACGAAGAAACAGAAAACGGTTAGTATGTCCTCTGCTGAAGCTGAATATCGTGCTATGGCTTTTATCACAAAGGAACTCATTTGGCTAAAGAGAGTTCTGTCTGATCTTGGTGAAACTCACTCTCAACCAATGCGTCTCTATTGTGATAGCAAGTCTGCAATTCACATTGCCACGAACCCGGTCTTTCATGAACGTACGAAGCATATCGAGAATGACTGTCACTTTGTACGTGATGAGATCAAGTCTGGTAATCTTCATCTACTTCATGTTCAAAGCAACTCTCAACTAGCGGATATTTTCACAAAGCCACTTGGTCGTCATAGCTTTGAAGATTTTTGCTCCAAACTGGGCATTTTGAATCTCCATGCTCCAGTTTGAGGGGGGGTATTGGGATATTATTTATCATAGTAAATCATATCCCACAATTATCGTACATAAACTTATTTGTTACCTATTCTGCAATGTAAATTATCTGCATATCTTTACTCTTTAGACTAGGTCATCAAGTTCTTGTAATATATAAGTATGTAATGGCCTCTCAATAAAATACACAGAACACATTCATTCTCTGTCTGTTTATCACCACCAAAAAAAAATCATTTGTTTCATGTTGGAGGCTTGGAGGCTTGGAGTCCACATTTTCTTTTTTTTTTTAACAAAAAAACACATTCAAGAAAACGAGAATATATTTTTATGTATAGCTTTGTTCTGTTTTCTGTATGTGTCCCAAGCCAAAGACTATATATGAGATAGTATTGACTCAGCATGAGAGTGTACCGTGTACGTAGGAGTAGAAGTAGAACCATAGTAAACAAAACAGTAAAAAAAAAAAAAGATATACTTACGAGTAAGAAAACGTCGTGTTGGAGTGAAGCATAGACAGCCCAAATCGCGCCGTTTAAGAAGAGGAAAAACGACAACCAAAACGGCATGTATTTCACGCTCTTTGTCGTCACTACTGTTTTCTGTAAAATGTAATTAACAACAAAACACTATTAATTAGTTTATATTATATGGGTTATTTATTATAAAACGTATCCTAATTGAATATCTGTCCCCCAAAAAAATATGAAAACGAAATGATACGCATGTCTTTATCTAAGGTTTGTAAATATCAATGGACCCATATGAAGTCGTGGTTTGCATTATTGTGACATTAATTATATATATTCAAATTTTAGATGTGTGGAGAAATCTAATGACGTACAAGTTTATATAATTGATATGTGACTCTGATTTTCTTTTTTTAAAGACGTGCTTAAAAATGACATATGGGTGTGTGGTTGTTGGTTTATTATATATGATGATTCTTGCATGTATGAAAAAAAAATAAACTTTATAAACTATATGAACAACTACCACATAAAAAAAATTAACCCTGATCATGATGATGCCTTATTCCTAGAAAAAATATAGTATAAAAACTACTATAGACGATATTCTAAATTCCACTAACTACATGACAAATTTAAATTATAATCATTATGTTTTAATACAAAAAAAAAAATTAGTCTTTAGACCAGGTGGGTCGCTTTTAATTATGGACGGCTATAAGCTTTTTTATTTATTTGGATTTTACTTTACGAAAAAAAACCTAATTTATGCAATTTTCAGAAAGGACCAAGTATATATGAACAATGATGTCTATATTTTTAAAACGTGGGTTATATAAAATACCTAAATGCAAATAAAATTGAGAGATAGGTGAAAATTATAAAGAATGAACTTACCATAGCAGAAAGAGGAGAACCATACATTATAATGTTTAGACCAGCAGAGATGAAACCTATCGATTGAGAACGCATCTTCTCATCTTCAAACGCACTTCTCGTTGCCACAATCGCTACGATCGGGAAAAACACGTTCAACATCCCTACCACTATAATTGTGTTCAGCTGTAAAAAAGAAGAGAAACAAATATAACACATCAGCTAAAACACTTTTGTATACCTTAACCAAGAACTATAACATAAATAAAGTTCAATTATAGGAACCAAACATTTTGTAAAAAATGTTGAAACATTACTTTACAAGTCATCCTGGACTCCAAATATATATATCTTATAACAAGTGGATCATGATATTTTAATCAACTTGACTTTATGGAGAGATAAAACAATGAATTTAAAATGCGACAAATAAATCTGATAATCAGATCCAAATCTGAATTAAAATGCAGATTTTAACAAGCTATCATATAAGAAACACTAGAGATCATTCATATATATATAAAGAACCTAAAAATGAAAATGAAAATGGAAATAAAATAAAGTAAAAACCTTGAGATGTCGAGGGGCATAAAAGAGAAAAAGAGAAACGTAGATGGTTTCAACAAGAGCACCAAAGCCATTGACGGTGGAAACAAGATACTCTCCGGGAGTAACGATGCCGTAATACGTCCATAGAGACGATCCTAGCAACGTGCAAATGTAAGGCAAGCTTTTGTACTCCTCCGTTGATCTCCTCTTCACTATTTTCCAAAACGTCTCCCTGATATGATTTTGACCGATCGATAATATAAAAAAAAAACTATAGACTACATATATAATTCAATTTTGTTACTTGTTACAAAAAACAAAAACGAAAGAGTTGAAAGGAGAGTGAGCTTACACTGGTGAGAGGAAGACAAGAACGGAGATTACATTTCCTGCGTCGTTCAAACACAAGATTATAAGAGGTTACCAACACACATACATGTTACGATCGTGAAAGATGTAAGAAGACGTGCAAAGAAAGGTGTTTTACCTATGACTCCGATATAGAAACTTGGCTCTGCCATTTTTGGAGAAAGAGTTTCTGATAGAGAGAGATGGGGAAGAGGAGCTGAGGAGGAGGCTACTTAATTAGATGAAACGTGACTTTTGGTTTTTATAGTTTTTTTTTTTTTTGGCATTTGTATTGTTCACACTATGATGTAACCAAAGTATGCAACTGTGTAAATTGGTGTGAATGGTTACTATTGGATGAATGACAAGAAAACAAAATGTAATGAGTTGGGTACTTTTAGAATAAATTATATGAATGAAATAAAATAGATACTGGACTTTTTCTTTTCTTCCTATATAATCAAATTGTACCATTTTAGTGGAATAAAAATATAATATAAAAAATTATATAATAAACATATAATCTGCAATTAACTTGTAAGACGGAGCAAATAAATACGCATAAAATAATTTTACTAAAGTATCTCAATTTTAGTAAACCGAATTACGGATAAGTTTTTAATCATTAATAAAAAAATTGGGCAAATTGTAGAAACTATAGTATTTTAAAGCTTTTTGGCCAAATCTGTAAAAAATCTGTTGAAGTAGCAAAGTAAGCAACCATTGTATTTAAGTATAATAAGGTTAAACGACGTATATAAAATCCGAATGTTTTTTACTTAAGCAAACTATAATTAAATGAACAGAAGACACTTTAGTTAATTAAATTAACACATGTGCCATGTGGTGGCAATTGGCTAAAGGCAACAACGCCTACATATAGTTCTATTCTATACTAATCTTTTTAATTCAGACTGAACAACTCTTTTTTTACTTTCTAAGAGTCAGTCAAAGTTTCTCAAATAAATTGTTAAAGAAATCAGAATCAAAGTGAAAGCAATGGTCCTTGAGATATTCAACTTGGTCGCTACTCGCTAGTAAACTTCAACCACAACACTATGTGAAGTTGATGTCACTTTTAAGACTTAACAACAATATGTTCTTGTCTTTTCTTGAATCCAAATCTCTTGAATTACGATAAATAATGCAGTATATTTATAATTATGGAATACGGACCGATGAAAAACAAATTAGTGAAATCACGGTCGTGAGGAGTGAGGACCCCTAGGTTTGTGGCTAGGCCATTTTGTTCAACCCCACTTTCTTCATCACGAATTATGATTCATAAACATCTTACCTTACTAAAAATGCATGCAAAACAAAAATAACACAAGATAAAAAACAAATGATTTAACTTATTTACCTTTTTACAAGGTTGTCGCTCAATAAAGTTTATTGAATGTCCATAATAGTGTGTATATATATATATATATATATATATATATATATATATATAAATCCATAAAAATGCTTTTATTATTAATTTATAGTTACATATTTTTGAAATTTTTTAGTTAGATAAATAATTTTGAAGTACTATTTACTTACCATTCAATTCATTTAAAGAATCTCTATAAAATATAATGTACCCCTAAGGGAATGTACTATAATTATCATAAAATATATTTTCTTACAGCTCACTAATTTAATTAAAATAAAAATAAAAATTGAGTTATACAAAGCATAAAGATAAAAGAGACGAAGACCTTAAATTTAACGTTACGTGCCAAATAGTCAAAAAAACTATTACAACACGAAAAACGTAAGAAAACTGGACACGAGAAAAAGATAATTATGCCGTTACAATGCATTGGAAAAGATGCAACCAAATGACCAACGCACATGTATTAACAGTTTGTAACTCCTTTTACATTTATTAAACTAGATTCATACTAGTGAAATTTTTTAATTAAAATATTTCTTTATAGCTTATATATTTTGAGGTTTCTATTTGGCTTGATACTGTATATATTTATTTGTTGCTTGTAGATATATATTTTGTGACCTTACGTTTTAAAAAAATTCTACATGAAATTTTAAACCTCTTGCGTAGTTTCACTTATTTGTGAAGTTAATTAATCTTATATTATGTCACTTATTGGTGATGTGATATTGTTTAGATTTTGTGTTTTGCTAAAACAAAGTTAATTTTTCAGAAACTTGTATAAATTCTTATAAGATGAAAAATATTGACACTGCATGGTTTTGGGCCCTTAAGATTTAAATATCGAAGTTCACAGACATATTTGGGCCTTTGGACCCAAGTAATTCGAAAACGATCTCATATTAATGAGTTCAATATATGCAGACATCAGTACGACTCCGACACGAAAAATCTATACCAAGTACTGACTACTAGTGTGACTAGCCTCCGTGCTTTACTCTCTTCTTCAGCAAATCTGATTTCAAATAAGTTCACCGACGAAATTGAAAAAAATGAGTGACGGGAGAAGGAAGAAGAGCGTGAACGGAGGTGCACCGGCGCAAACTATCTCCGATGATCGGAGATCTAGTCTTCCGGAGGTTGAAGCTTCTCCACCGGTGGGGAAACGAGCTGTTATCAAGAGTGCTGATATGAAAGAGGATATGCAGAAGGAAGCTATCGATATCGCCATCTTCGTATGTCTTCTCTTACATTTTGCTGTTGTACATTCTTCGGATTTAGGGGTTTCTTATCTTGATCTTGAGTTTTAGGGTATGAGTGATGGTGATTGTGCCCTGGGATTTTTTTTTGGTTTTTCGAATTACTCACTGATTTATCTCTAATCTCTAGAGCTCGATTTGAATCTTGTTGGTCTCAATCTCAACTCTAGAAATCTGATTTTGTTATTGTGTACGGAACTAGATTCGATCCCTTGTAAGTTGTAACTATGGTAATGTTCTTATAGGAGATGGAACTATTTCCCTGATTAATCGATTGGTTCAACTTAGAGTATCTTTTGGAGTGATTTAAGTGTCCTTTGCTATAAAAGGATTTACATTTTCAGAAACTGGGACTTGCTTTTGTAGGCATTTGAGAAGTACAGTGTGGAGAAGGATATAGCTGAGAATATAAAGAAGGAGTTTGACAAGAAACATGGTGCTACTTGGCATTGCATTGTTGGTCGCAACTTCGGTTAGTTCCCCTCCTTATTTTACTTAAGTTGTCATTAAGGTGGCATTGCTTGAACAAAAAGGCTCAGTTAGTAGGGGGTAGTGATCTCTTAGTAGCTAAATCTGGTTCTGAGCCTCGTTGGATCATTTGGTTTTCTTACTGTTAATCCATCTTTGATTCTCGTCTGGTTAATAGCGAGTAAGATCAATGGTTTGGTTGTTTCTCTATCCTAACTAACTAGACATAATTTGGAACGGTTGTTTTTCTTGCGCTGGAAAGGTTTTTGTGCTCTTAGTATTAAAGAAAGTTTGGGTTAGGTTTGGTCCCAACTCCCAAGGATGTGGTACCACCCCCTTTAGCTGCTTAGCCTCCCCACTTAGCCCCACAGTTAGTGGATTTCAGCTTTTCTTTACTTAGCTTAGCAAAAGTATTCATGTGCATAAGACTATATATCAACAATCAACTGATATATCTTACTGGCTTCTATTATTTTTCTGTAGAATCTGATTGCCATTCTCGTTTGATACTTATTCGACGATATTTCTCTATTCCTGCAGGTTCTTATGTAACGCACGAGACGAACCATTTCGTTTACTTCTACCTCGACCAGAAAGCTGTCCTTCTCTTCAAGTCAGGATAAGAATTTGAAAACCAAGAAAACTCATTGTGATGAACAGTCAGCATTATCATCAATCATCATGTTGTAGTTAGTATCTTTCTTTGTATGTATGTGTTACTTCTAAGGCTTTAACCAACCAAATTTGGAGAATAAACCCTATAAAAGTCTTTCAGTACATGTCATGCATCTTCAAATGTAAATTTGATTTCACCAGATTTAAAAACTCAGCGTTGATATATCTAAATTTTCCGGTTTGTGTTGCCTTTTGTTTTCTTTAGTTAGTCAAACTTAACTTGAAGATCGCAATAACCTCTGTTAATCAAATGAAAAACTTATAAATAACAAAATTTGGTGTTTTCAAAGTTTAGGGGTCTCATATGTGAAAATACAGAAGTTTTGGTTTGGAATAGTAAATTCCGGTTTAGAAGTAGACTCTGACTCGATGACGAAATTACAGTAATTTCATTATTCCACGATTCTGACCAAAGGAGAAGGAAGAAGAAGAGAAAGAGAAGTGTAATTGAACCGATCGGAAAATGGCGACGTCGATGATACAGAGGTTGTTTAAGCAAGGCACTAAGATCGTCTGCGTCGGCCGTAACTACGCCGCTCACGCCAAAGAACTAGGCAACGCCGTCCCCAAGGTTCTTCAATCCTCATTTTTGAATTGATGATGAGATTCTCATCTTAAATTCAATTGTTACTGAGTTTTTGCTATTCAATATCATTGATCCAAGATCTCGAAAGCTTTACCATGTTGTTTTCCTGAGAAACTATAAATCTGAGAGAGAGATATAAAAAAAAAAAATTGTGGTTTCGTTTTTTTTTTGTTAACAATCTGATTTGAAATTGGGAAATAGGAACCAGTTATATTCTTGAAGCCAACATCATCGTACTTGGAAAATGGAGGAACAATTGAGATACCACATCCTCTGGATTCACTTCACCATGAAGTGGAACTTGCCTTAGTAATTGGGCAGAAGGCTAGAGATGTACCTGAATCTATTGCTATGGATTACATTGGAGGTATTTTTTAGTGTAGTATGGTCCTGTTCGTTTGGCAGTCGCAGGTGCCTCGCGATTGCGTGCTTATTAGTGCTTTCTCTTATAATGTCATCATTTCTTATTACATTTCATTGTTTTTATTGTCTTTTTTGAAGGATATGCGGTTGCTCTTGATATGACTGCTCGGGAACTCCAAGCTTCCGCTAAGGTAGGATAATTGGGGGTTTACACGTATACAATGTTTCTTTGTGTCCTTCTTCCGTTGCATTTACCAATCCTTTATACGAGTCTAGGTTAACCGCGCACATGTGGTCGAAACGTAGTTGATAGAACTCATTCTTTGTTGAAAAGTCTTATGTAAAGCTTTATGGATTGAGAATTTCGTATTTGGTATCCTGACTTGGGATTTTCAGATTGTTTTCAACCAAGCATTTGATATAAATGACATCATCAAAGTGTGGTTTTGCATGAAGAGTAATCTGTTTATCAATTTAGTTTTGTGCTAAATCATAAATCGTGTTTACATTCTCTTTTTTTCAGGCATCTGGTCTCCCATGGACGCTTGCTAAAGGACAAGATACATTCACACCTATCAGCTCGGTTGTAAGTATTGATCTCAAACCTAGATGCTAGTTTCAACACACCATATAGTTTATATGAAAAATGCGACTTTTGTCCTGTTTGATGAACACACTTATTCTGTTTGTCTGATTGCAATGTGATCAGATTGTAGCATATGCTGTTAGGGTATGAGAACTAATTGTTTGCTTTGTCATATTACGCCTTTATGTGATTTATATGTAGTTGAGAGTAGAAAAGTCTCATTGCAGGAGGTGATGCTGTCATAGCCAACTTGATATGAGGATTATATGTCCTGTCCTGCTGAGAATAAAAACTCTTTTTTGATTTCTAGCTTAAGTTTCCTTTTATCATTTTGTTTTTTGACATGAGGATCATATGTCCTATCCTGCTAAGGGTTCAAACTCTTTTCGATCTTCCAATTTAAATTTTGTTTCTTCTGTCACTTTTCAGCTCCCAAAGGCGCTGGTGCATGATCCCGATAATCTAGAACTTTGGCTTAAGGTTTGTCCTTCGCCCACTCTCTTGTTCTGCTGTTACTGAAAATTTTATTTCCCCACTTAAGAATCTGCAGGGCCTAAACTGAATTTAATATTTGACAGGTTGATGGTGAAATAAGACAGAAGGGTTTGACAAGAGATATGATATTCAAGGTCCCGTACCTCATCAGCTACATAAGTTCTATAATGACCCTTTACGAAGGAGATGTCATCTTGACAGGTACTGGCATATATAACTTTTATGTTTTCCCATCTCAAATAATTTGGAACTTGTATAAAAACAATCCCTTCAAATTATAGGCACACCACAAGGCGTTGGACCTGTAAAGATAGGTCAGAAGATTACTGCCGGGATCACCGGTCTATCTGAGGTTCAATTCGATGTCGAAAGGCGTGTAAAGCCCTTGAGCTAAGTGGTTATATTTTCTTTCATACAAAATGTCAATCTTATAAAAGCATCTCTAATTTTAATCAATTACTGTGTTTCCTTACACTAAAGAAGGGAGAATATAACGCTCTAGTCAAACTTGTACCTCTTTCATTTGTAATTTCTAATAACAAAGCTTGTTTAGATGGGAATCATTTGGAAAGTTGTGATATGATTAGAATCGGCGAGATTTGATGTATAGTCGTCTACAACTTTTCCATTCATCCTGATAATATAATCTATACAAGTGAGATTAGAGTTTTTTGAAATTCAAGGAGAGTTAAATGATAAAGAAAAAAAAGATTGAATAGCTAAGGGCAGAAGGATACAAGAGAAGTTTGAACCAACTGAGTTCACACATCATAAGATGCAGCTTAAAAGAGTTGGTAGACACAGCAGAGAATCAAGTCCGCATACAATGCGAATAACCCACAAATCCTGCTACATATTTTGGTGGTTGGCTTAGATCAAGAAAGCATATTTTATCTCCTCAAAGAAATTGGGGACCAAGTTGACAGTTCGAAGAATGATCTTTGGGGATGTTCCCATAGCTTAGTCAAACTTTTGATTATAATAAAACTCGTGGGCTCAAGTCGTGGGCTATTAAGAAATCTAATAATGATGATAGATAAGCGTAAGAAGCCCAATCGATCACAACACTTTTGGTAACGTTTTGATGCTTTCTCACTTCCCCACTGCTATAGACCACTGTAGTTTGTAAAGTTTGCATTTTTATCTCTCTGCTTTGATCTCAATCGTTCTCGTAACAGAAAAATGTCAGAGAAAGGAGGCAAAGGGCTCAAATCCTCTCTCAAATCTAAAGATGGTTTGTGTATTTCCCCACTTTGTTTCTTTGTTGTTTAACATCATTTTCCTCGAGATTCTTTGCTAAGTTCTAGGGTTTTTGGTGCAGGAGGGAAGGATGGGAACTCAGCAAAGTCCAAGAAGGGTAGAAAAATCCACTTTGATCAAGGTTTTAACATTTTCTCTTCTTCTCTTCGTTTGATTTCGAATTCAAAGTCTCAAGCTTTTTCTAGTTCTGATTTGATAAAAATGTCATCTTTTTTTCTTATGAATGTGGCAGGGACTCCGGAACCTAATTACAAGATTCTCAACGGTTCTGATCAACCATTTCAGAGTTTTGCTCCTAAACCTGCCAAAGGAGAGAAAGCTCCCAAGTCTAGCAAAAGCTCTCTGCACTCGTTTGACCTCAAAGGTTTGTAAAAATCTTCCCATCTATCTGTGAGGGTCTTAGTTCGTTCTGGTTCTGTGATTTCACCTATTTGCTATGTGATGATTGGACTTTGTAGATCTTCCTGAGAATGCTGAATGCATGATGGACTGTGAAGCTTTTCAGATATTAGATGGAATTAAGGGACATTTGGTTGGGTTATCTGAAGACCCTTCTATTAAAATTCCTGTGTTAGTAAATCTCTAAACACAACATTTCGTCATGCTGGAAAAGTCTCTGGTTCTCTTCTAACGTTGTAGTTTCTTTATCATCCAGATCTTATGACAGAGCATTAGCTTATGTGGAGAGTTGTGTTCACTACTCAAACCCTCAATCTGTCAGACAAGTTCTTGAGTATCCTTTTAGCTGTGCTTAGGCTCTGGAAGCTAGTTTATTTATCATTCTGTGTAGTTTTAATTGTGTGTTGTTTTCAAACTTAGCGACTATGAATGATGTTAGGCCTTTGAAAACCCATGGTATCTCTGATGGCGAGGTAACAAGCTCTACTGAGGCAATATGAGTCCATTACTCTACAAGGCTTTCTTTTTAATGCTGAGTTGTTATGTGCAGATGTGTGTGATTGCAAATGCCTCCCCAGAAACTGTAGATGAAGTTCTTGCCTTTATTCCATCGCTGAAGGTGAGGCTTTTAGTACTACTAGAGTCTGATGTCTGATGTGTGTGTTATTATTCTTTGAGATCTGAATTGGATTTGGGAATTTTATCCAATGCAGACTAAAAAGGATGTGATCAGTCAACCCCTGGAAGATGCATTGGTGGAGCTATCCAAGCTGAAGAAATCGGAATGAAGAGGAGACTGCTGTAATGAATGGTTCAATGCTAGGAGTAGTTTGCAGCTTAACTTAATATCTATGTGTATTTGCGTCTTTGCCTTACCTCAACGTTAACGTACCTGCGCAATGACAACTTTTGTCTAGTTTTGGTCATTGCACTTTTTAATCTCTATTAATCGGCTGTATCTCTCGTTGACAATATCATTTCGCACGCTTCCGAAGTCATTAGCTCCCTTGAATGCATGATGGCCTAGTAACTAGTAAGGTTATAAACATATGATCCAAGTTTATGACTTTGTTATGAGCTTTTTACCACTATGAATCCCTGTACCGCCATAAACCTGTTTCGATGAAATGCCTAACAAAAGACTGTAACTTGGACCAACTTGATTTCTGGTTACAAGCATCATGATCGAGCCTGATACGTGCATTCATTTTATGATACGCTCAGCCTTGCGGCTGTTATGGTCACCAACCTCACGACTTCAATTCGAATGTTCTCATTGGTAGCTCTCTTCTTGACTTGTACACCGCTAGGTCTTATATATGGGTGATGCGTTACGAGTAGGAATGAGAATTTCTTGACATGCCTGGCTTGGAAATGTGGTAGAGAGAAATGCTCTAGAGCTTTTACAACGGATGCTTCCCATTTCATTATTCATACATATCATCAAAAATTTAGATTGTCAATGAAATTACCATATCAAATTTACATTTAAAATGAAATTACCATATCAAATATATACACATGTACAGGGATAGAGAGAATTATCAATTATCATAGCAAAGTGTTTTTAACAATCTCACAGCAAAAAGAAAAAGAAAAAAACACTTCCCCAATCATCATCCATCAAAAATGGCGTCTCTGTGCCTCTCTCTCCACCAAACCCTAAAACCCGTGGCTAGACCACTATTGAGCCACTCCTTCCCAAGATCCGCCACCGTCTCCGTCCGCCACTCAACCAGACGCGCAACCGTCTCCGCCTCATACACCCCAACGCCGGCAACAGAGCGCGTGATATCAATCGCTTCCTACGCGCTGCCTTTCTTCAACTCGCTGCAGTATGGGCGGTTCCTGTTTGCTCAGTACCCTCGACTTGGATTACTCTTCCAGCCCATTTTCCCAATCCTCAATCTCTACAGATCGGTGCCGTACGCGAGTTTCGTAGCCTTCTTCGGGCTCTACCTTGGCGTGGTGAGGAACACGAGTTTCACCAGGTACGTCAGATTCAACGCGATGCAGGCCGTGACGCTGGATGTGCTCCTGGCGGTTCCGGTGCTGCTGACCCGGATACTGGATCCGGGTCAAGGAGGCGGGTTTGGAATGAAAGCTATGATGTGGGGGCACACGGGGGTGTTCGTCTTCAGCTTTATGTGCTTTATCTATGGAGTCCTCAGCTGCTTAGTCGGCAAAACTCCTTATATTCCCTTTGTCGCCGATGCTGCCGGCAGACAACTCTAAATTTTTGTTTCAGTCTGTTCGTTGTTTTCCATTTAGAATCGGTTGTTTGTGTTTCTTCTTGTAGACTATACAGTAGAGAGAAGAAGACCAATCCAATCTTATATTGTTGAGTAATGTTGTTGTTGTTGTTAATTTTTGACACAAAGAAAGAAAGTCTAATTTCTGATAATGATTGTTGATCGATCATAACACTTTTGGTAGTGTTTTGTTGCTTTCTCACCACTGCTGTGGAGTGTAGTTTGTAAAGTTTGCATTTTTTTATCTCTCTGCTTTGATCTCAATCGTTCTCGTAGCAGAAGAATGTCAGAGAAAGGAGGCAAAGGGCTCAAATCCAAAGATGGTTTGTGTATTCCCTCACTCTGTTTCTTTGTTGTTAATATGAGTTTCCTCGGAATTCGTTGCTAAGTTCTAGTGTTTTTTGGTGCAGGAGACAAGGATGGGAACTCAACAAAGTCCAACAAGGGTAGAAAAATCCACTTTGATCAAGGTTCTAACCTTTTTTCTTCTTCTCTTCATTTGGTTTCGAATTCAAAGTCTCAAGCTTTTTCTAGTTTTGATTTTGATAAAAATGTGATTTTTATGAATGTGCCAGGGACTCCGGAACCTAATTACAAGATTCTCAACGGTTCTGATCAACCATTTCTGAGTTCTGCTCCTAAACCTGCCAAAGGAGAGAAAGCTCCCAAGTCTAGCAAAAGCACTCCGCACTCATTTGACCTCAAAGGTTTGTAAAAATCTTCCCATCTTTGCTTGTGAGGGTCTTGGTTCGTTCTGGTACAGTTTTGGTCATTGGCACTTTTTAATCTTCATTAATCGTCTGTATCTGTCGATGACACGCATCCTAAGACATGAGCTTCCTTCACTTGGTGTGGAAATCTCATGAATCTGTAACTTGAATGCAAGCTGCCTAGTAAACTAGTAAGGTTATTAACATATGATCCAAGTTTATGACTTTGTTATGAGCTTTTTACCACTATGAATCCTCTGTTTCGCAAAGAAATTCCTTAACAAAGACTGTCACTTGGACCACCTTGAAACGTGGTGTCAGTCCCAGTGAGTTCACTTTGTCTAGCGTGGTGGTAAAAGCTATCTTCTTATTTTTCTTCTTGTTATAATTTTGTGATAAGCTGCCCAGCCTTGCGGCTGCTATGGTCACCAACTTCACGGCTTCAATTTGAAATCTCACATTGGTAGCTCTCTTCTTGACTTGTACATCGCTATGGTCTTATGGATGATGCGTTACGAGTAGGAATGCGAAATTCTTGAATCCGCTGGCCATGCTAGGAAATGTGGTACACACAAGGCTTTATATAGAGCTTTTTCAACGGATGCTTCCCATTTCATTATTCATATACAGTATATATAATTAGGCGTATACAACAAGTAATAATATGATCATTCAATAAATGCAATATTTATCTTTTTGATCATCAAATCAAATCTCTGCTAAGTTCAAAATATCAAAGAAATTTTTACATTTTAAATGAATTTGCAATGTCATATGTCATGCCCCAAAATTTTCACCATAATTCAGTAATTTCACAATTACATCAACTACGAACACGTGTACTTCTGAATTTTTGGTAGGCTTCCAATTTTTTCTCTCTAAATATTGGAAATTAATAAACTCTCCATAAATTAGAATCTTCCAATTCCTTTACTATACACCTTAACGGAATTGAGTATTTTACATTTCTAACGAGATTACGATATGTATACATATACATGTACCGGAATAGAGAACTATCCTAGCAAAGTGTTTTTCACAATCTCACAGCAAAAAGAAAAGACAATGTCGCTATCACGTTTTGCTATACTTTGCATAATCTTCGTTTCCCTCTTTGGTCTGCATGAATGTAAGTATATCTAATATCTATAACTACAGTTTTTGATTTTGCTCATAACTCATTACCATATGTCTCTAATTTACTATATTATTTTCTAGGTAGAAACGTGAACGAGACTTTGGAAGATAACAACAAGATAAACCTAAACAACATAACGTGTTCTAGAGGACTATGCAGCGATTTACACTATTGTTATTGCTGTATCAGAGATCCCAGCAACTGTTACGTAAGTAGAAGCGATTGTTTTAGTGAATGCACCAATATTTACGGCCCGCCAAGAAACATGACCCGCGGAAATACAAACGCAGCAGCAAGCAAAGAATTAGGGCTACCCATTTTGTCTAGTTTTCTTTTGGCAATTTCTTGTTTTGCTTTTTAGGATTGTTATTTAGACATCTTTTAAGGTTTTCAACATTTTTGGGTTTTTAATCGCACCACTTAAGATTGTGGTTCAAGAGAGTTTTGTTATATCATTATGATAATGGTATTTGCTTCTTTTTTTTTTGTTTTTTTTTGCTTTTCCAATGATAATTATCTTATGAAATTATTGCGGTATTTGATGTTAGTTTGTACTTTAAAAAGTATGAAAGTATGTTGTACATCTTTGAACTGATTTGATCTGTAATTTTACTTAAAATAATAAGAAAAAACAGGTAAACATCTGATGAAATTAACTCAATTCCTTTATATTTATTAAATTGAAGAATTATCTATTAATATGAGAAATTAATTCAATTCATTCACACTTTTCTAAACTAAAAATTTACATATTAAAATGAGAAATTAATTCAATTTTTTTCTAAGTCAAATGACATTACAAAACAGAAAAATAACCATATGACAAAATGCAATATGTAGCAATAAAATAAAATAAAATATCAAACATCTTAGGACATCAGAAAACATATACCGATCGCTCCTAGCAATTGAAGAAGGAGACCAGTATCGCTCCTTAATAAAATATGTATTAAAATCTTATATCACGTATTAAGGTATTTTCTTTTGCAATTTCCTCCATATACAGTTCAAGTTTGTGTCTAAAAATTTACAAAATAGTCGTGGATGTGTTTGCTTATCTCGTCAGGTCTTTCCTCATGGAGAAAATGACCAACGCCTTCAATTACCACAACTTCGTCCAACAACGGGACGTGGCTCTTAAATCGGCCATCGTGGATGTACTTCTTCGTGCCAGGAATGTGATAGGTCAAATCTTGGTCGCCGATTATGAACTTAACCGGAACTTTCACTTGAGCTTTTGATAGTGACCCCATCAGCTCCCATGTTCTGTAATGAGCAAAGGAAAGAAAATTGTGACACTAATAAACAAGAAACTAGAGATCTTGATCTGAGTTTTATGTAAGAAATTATGATTACACGGATGCAAAATACGAATCGAAGTTCAGAGTCACCAACTTATATAAACACACAATTACAGAGAGACCACTTGATGATGCTGACATTTATAAGAAAGGTTAACAATCACAATAAATGGATAACTTACTTCTGAATAATACAAAACAGTTCAGTGCTGATTTAGGTAGTGACAGAGATTGAGGTATATCATTCGAAGATATGGTAATTCTCAGACATTTCAGGATGACTTCCTTATACATAAAGACTTAAGACTCCCACTTAAAGGGGCAGGGCCAATGAACTAAGAATAACACTACCTCAAGAGTCAAGATACTGCTCAAAGATATATAATGCAAGTGCATCTGTGTGCTGAATGAACTCAAACAAGTAATAAAGGCATTGGATACACAAGCGATACAAGAGTTGCACAGAGAATATACCTGTCCATATTTCGGTAGTAGTTTACAGGTCCAGTGAAGCCATTCTTCTCGTACTTGGACACGTAATAGTTGACATCATATTCAGTTAGCCAAGAGGGAAGTGAAATAGGATCATCATAGCTTTTACCTTTCGGTAAGAGAATAGGGCCAGGGTTACGATATGTTAAGAACTCTAAGAGAGATCGTTCCACGCCAACTTTAGCGAATTCCGCTTCTATTTCCCCACATTCCTACAACATATAAACCCATTCTTCCAGTTAGAGACAGCTACGCGGAAATGAAAGAATACAGAACATCTTACCATAAAAAATCCTCAGTCATACCTCAAAACAGTCCTAATTTATATCCATTTCACCTACACTACCGATTACACAAAAGAATCTTAATGAAAACTTCCAATAGTTCATCATAACTCTCTTACTGGTAAGCTCATGTTTCAATCTCTTCTACTATTGTGTTCTACTAACAAGATATGTAGTTTAACAACAAATTCCAAACACATTTCAAAATGTTGAACCAAAGATTCAATTAAAATCAAGTTCAAGAACATGAACCTGAAATCTGCAGATGTAGTAGTCATCTCCATAGAAAGATCTAAACATTGAGATTGGTTTCCTCTTAGGATTCCAAGGATCAAACACCACACTCATGTTAACCAGAGCTTTAACCCTATCAGGTCGAAGAAGACAGAAATGCCAAGCGATAATTGCGCCCCAATCGTGTCCCACCACGAACACCTTCTCCTGATCTCCGACCACGGCGTCGATCAACCCAATCAGATCTCCGACTACGTGGAGACTCGTGTACGCGTCCACTCTCTCTGGCGCGTCGGTGTCACCATAACCCCGTAAGTCCGGAGCTATAGTCCGGTAACCTAACGACGAGAGTGCCACCATTTGATGCCGCCACGTGTACCAGAGTTCTGGAAATCCGTGGAGGAAAAGTATCACCGGAGGACGGATAATTCCGTCGAAAGCATCGCTTCCGACGACGGAAGGAATTTTCTCGGCGACGTGCATAGTAATTACATTGACCTTCACAAATCTATGATCAAACGTATGATCCATTCGTAGTGAATAAGATGATGATGAAAAAGAAATGATCCAAATCCCACCCAAATTTGGGGAAAATGTTCATATAAACCGGTCTGATCAAACTTGACCAATATTAAACCCGGTTTAGTATGGTTTATCCGATTTTTCCGGTAGACGAATGTTTAAATTTGTATTATTTGAATCGTTTATATAACGATTTTATTGGTTCGATACTTAGTTTGATTTTAAAGGAACTTTTGAAAGAAGCTGTGAATGTGTTGATTGATCACGTCAGGATCTTCTTCATGGAGGAAATGACCCAAACCTTTGAGCACGACGGTTTCGTCTAGCAACGGTACATCTCTCTTGAAACCACCACCGTTAATGTATTCTTTAGCTCCCGGAAAATTGTACGTTAAATCATGATCTCCAACTATGAACTTCACCGGTACATTGATCTTAGCACCGGTCCATGGTGCGGTCAGCTCCCAATTTCTGTTTTTTAAAAGACGAACCGATTGGTTTAAAAGTGAAAATTCTGTGACTAAGTACTATTGAACCGGACTGATTAACGTACCGGTCAATGTTGCGGTAGTAGTTAATGGGTCCGGTGAAGCCTTTCTTGTCGTACTTGGTGACGTAATAGTCGAGGTCTTCTTGTGTTAGCCATGGCGGTAACGCACACGCAGCGTTTTCTGAGCGTTCGAAACATTTGTCTTTAGGGAGATGGAGCGGTCCAGGCGTTTTGTAGGTGAGGAACTCTTTCAACACTTTCTCTGTTCCCAAGTTCTTGAACTCTGCTTCTATATCTCCAGGTTTCTTTATTACAAAAATAATCACTCATTAGTCATAACTCATAACTAGTACTCTATTTTGCTAAAGATGTATACATAGTTATAACTTATAGGTATTATATGGTAAAGCAATCAAATCCACATGTCATCATTTAGGAAGTTGCACAAATGCAACTTGGTTGAAGAGAAAGTTACAAAACTCAAAATAAACTTTTATGGGGTCTTTAGATATTTTGTATAAATTATTTCATCGAATTAACTCTAACTTTAATCTAATTGTAACTAAAAAACTTAATGACTTTTGGTTTGGTTTAATTTTCTTCGGTTTGCAAGATTAGGGCAACAAAGTAATAAACCTGAAATCTGCAGATGTAATAATCATCACCGAAGACATATCTCAACGTCGGAACCGGAACACGATCACGGTTCCTCGGAGAGAAGAGTACGCTCATGTTAACTAGAGCCTTCACTTTCTCCGGTCGATACTGACACAACTGCCACGCAAGCATCGCTCCCCAGTCATGACCAACCACGAAAACCGCCTTGTCACCGTCGGTCACGGCGTGAATTAGTGCAACCAAGTCTCCGACCACGTTAAAGTAAGTGTAACCCTCCACTTTCTCCGGCGCGTCTGTGTCTCCGTACCCTCTAAGATCCGGCGCGATGGTACGGTATCCCAAGGAAGAAAGTGCAGCCATCTGGTGTCGCCACGTGTACCAAAGCTCCGGGAATCCGTGAATGAAGAGAATGATCGGGTCTTCTCCTGCTCCGGATCCGGGTCCGGATGCGGGTTTCTCCGCCACGTGCATGTTTATGCCGTTTACCTTGAGGGTTTTGTGTTCCACGCCGTCGAGTTTGGACATCTTCTCTTGCGTGATTGTTTGAGTCTCGGGAAATGTGGAGAAATGGGTCATCGGATTTGGGATTTTCCCGAGAAAACGACGGAATCTGAGAGGAAGATGGGTTTGGAACCGTGAAAGTGAGAGATATCGACACAAGAACATGTGTGGTTTTGTGGTGTTTGGGATCAGACGACTTCGTATGGATAAATTAATCTCCGGTCGTTTAAAGTTTGAGAGAACAACGAAAATGGTCGAATCAAATGTGTATGTATTGTCACTATTCCATAAAACTAATTAATTTGAAGGAATACATTATAATGAAAGAAAGAAATCTGATGATGAGAGTAAAGCATACAAAAGTGTATTGACAGAATTGTTAGTTGATTTTTATGAGAATAAAGTTATAGATTACATTCTTTTATGTAGAGATATGGCATTGATATTCATAATTATTATAGTTTCGATTATTGGTTTCATAAAATCAATGAATTTTTTTTGTACAATGTACAACAAATTGACAAGTACATTAATATGATGTAAGACGATATACAATAATTCGACCAGTTAATTTATTTTTGTTACTTTATGAATTACGAATCAACATGTCCAGGCAATTCGAATCTTAAAATTAAAGTATTGGAAAGTATTTCTTGTTTTGTTTTCTGTGTTTCTTTTGAAAAGTAACCCCAAATTCTTAGAGTGGATACAATAATGTGTGGTCAAGAAGGATATGTATCAAAGTATACTAGCTGTACGTGTATTAATATATTGGTTACTTGATGGTTTGGTGAACCAATTAAACCACTAAAAGGACCAAACGTGAACCAAAGCCAAATAAAAAACGAACAATTCTTGGGTTCACCCCTAGGGGTGAACCTATCTCATTCACCCCCTCTAATCTAACCAATCAAAATTAGCCATGTCATATAATTAAATGAATTAAAATAATTTATTTTAGTAATTACAAACTTTAATTCTAACCACTATATTATTAACTTAAACTTAAATATAATTTAGTTTATTTATAAAATCTAAACCCTAAAGTACTAATTTATCAACCCAAATCAAAATATAATCTTGTTTAATTACAAAATCTAAACCCTAACCACTATATATATACTACAAGTCAAGAAGAGAAAGTTAATTAGCTAGGTACGATCTTAAACCAACATTATCAGCAAGATTTTAAAGGGTATCTTAAGGTAAGATTCCCTTTCACAATGTGTTTTTTTAAGGATATCTTGCCTTAAAATACTCCTTAAGATCTTGCTGATAATGATGTCCTAAACCAACGTGTGCATGGGAACAGCTTCACGCAAATTCACGCAGAAAACGGGGAAGCCGATTTGCAAATCGCAATGGGCCAACTAAACGTACATTCAACTATTCAAGGGTCGAGTCATGCATCCAAAGATTGGTGGTACGTTATGTACATGTTCCAATATCACTTAGACATTGACATTATGTCATTATGTGTTCCAAGGACATTAGAGGGTATCTTTACATCTAAGATACCTCAATAAGGATGGTAAAGCTCTTTAAAAAAAGGAAACATCCAAATAATTTAAACTATTGAAATTTTTCCTTCATTTTTTCTGTTACCAGACTCACCACCTCTATTGTTCTTAAAATTAATCTTTATTATAGAACAATAAACAAAAAAAATCCAAATAAGTTAAGCTACCAAAGTTTTTTCCCTTAATCACTATACTATTTAAAATTAATTTTTATTATATTTAATAGCACAGAGATTTATTTCCTTCTACAGGCTTTCTCAAAAATTGAACACCTGTTTCATTTTCCCATATTTTACCTTTCTTACATAATTATAAATATTTCTTTTTATTATGGTTTTTAATAGTCCTGTATTTTGTTCATACACATTATATATATATTGACTTTCAGATTCAACTCATGATCCATTCAAACTGTCAAAGGATTTAAAAAATTTGTTTCCCTATTTCCCCATATTCTATCTTTTCTTATATAGTTATACTTATCTATTTTGTTGAATCTAGTATTTTCCATATGTACTGTAGATGTAGTATACCTATAAATACATTTACTTGAGATTTTATTCAAGAGCCATTCAAAACGACTACGACTAGCTCCAAAAGCGACGGTGGAAGATGGGGCAAGTACCGTTACGACGGAGGGATCTAGTGATGGTCGGTGGTTGCTTGGCCGTTGCCGGATTCTTAAGTTTTGTGATCTACCAAATTAACATTGGTGTTTATCCACTAGGACCACTACAACAGTTCTTCCACCTCTCCGATGTCGTTAGTAATTCTATTTACCTATCCATGTATGTATGTGTTTATATATTTCGTTTTGTTATCTTATACGTAAGTTTCTATCGTAATTGTTTTCAGAAAATTTTCAATATCTCTTTTTTTTTTTTCAACTTCGGCTTTTCATGGAGATTTTGGAATTGAATTATTTTCAGATTTTCTTCCATATTTAGATTTATTACAAGAGTAAGAGTAAAAAGATTTTATTAATAAATTCTAATATATACTATATGATATGGTCTTAAATGTAATATGATGCACTTAAAATAATTTTGGAAAACTAGGAAGGATTACATATCACATGATTATTTTTTTTTAGATTTGAGTAGAAAAAATACAGTTGTCGATATCTCTAAAGGGAACAAATTATTTCTGTTTTTTTTTTCTTAACCATTAGCTTACAGATTTCAATTTTTATTTTATATTTATTTCCATAAATGATAAAATCTTTCTATTAACTTAAATCCCTTAGTTATATGTCTAATTTTTTTTAAAAATTAATAAGTCATTTGGCTAGTAGTGTTTTCCGTTTACAAGTGTACGAATAACTTAAATACGAACAAAGACAACGTATGCAAAACAATGATCTGTTCTTGAATATATTTTTAATTGTTGTTGGACAGCATCATCAAGAAGATGTGAAAGAATTGACCAAAATCCTGACAGAAGCAGCTACGGAAGATAAGACGGTGATCATAACCACCTTAAACCAGGCTTGGTCTCAGCCGAACTCGACGTTTGATTTGTTTCTCGACAGTTTTCGTGTCGGTAAAGGGACTCAGCCATTACTCCGACACCTTGTGGTGGCTTGTCTCGACGTGGATGCCTATTCTCGGTGCTTAAAGGTCCATCCCCGTCGCTGTTATTTCATGAAAACCGCCGGAGTTGATTTCGCTGGCGATAAGGTGTTCATGACCCCGGACTATCTCAAGATGATGTGGCGTCGTATAGAGTTTTTGGGTACTTTGTTAAAGCTCGGTTATAACTTTATCTTCACGGTACGTACCTATCTCTCTCCCTACTTGTACGTCATCGTTTACATTCTGTTGATTTTGATTTGCCAACATTTGCATTTTTATTGTTTAGTGTGACAATATTTAGAAGATATGGGCTTTGAATCAGATGAGCGGGATTATTAGTGTACGTAAACCCATGTATGATATAGACTCATTGTTGTTTAGTAGTTGATAAATTCATCTTTTGGTTAGGGGAGTAAGGTTCAAATATTTGGGCTATGATTTTAATATTGGTTGGTCACTGGTAACGTTAAATGACAATAATAAATACATGCCTCTTCTCTAGGCCCTAGGAATTAGTCGAAAAATTCTGCTAAGTAAAAACGAATTAGTTGGTAGATATGAAGACGAATTTGATGTTTATATTACACTCTTTTACTAACATATGGTTAATGTGTGTAGGACATAGATATAATGTGGTTTCGAGATCCATTTCTTCGTTTATCTAAAGATGTAGATTTCCAAATCGCGTGTGACCGTTTTAATGGAGATCATAACGACATCCGCAACAATGTCAATGGTGGTTTCACTTTTGTTCAAGCCAATCCACGAACCATAAATTTCTACAACTATTGGTACATGTCGAGGCTGCGGTTTCCGGATAAACACGACCAAGACGTGTTCAATATAATCAAAAGCAGTTGGTACACTGCAAAAATTGGACTTAAAATGAGTTTCTTGGACACGAAATACTTTGGAGGGTTTTGTGAGCCAAGTAAGGACTTGGATAATGTTTGTACAATGCATGCCAATTGTTGTGTGGGACTAGAGAATAAAATTAAAGATTTGAGACAAGTGCTGGAGGATTGGGAGAATTATTTGTCCGTGGCGAAGACAAGGGATGGTCAAAATTTGTCATGGCGATACCCAGAGAATTGCATGAAGAAGAGTACATGGGGGAAAATATAAATGAAAAACTATAGATATATTATGTTATTTATCAAAAACTCTTATCATTGTAAATTATATTTTTGTAACCATGAATAACAAAAGAGTCTCTCGTTTTGATGGTACTTTTATAAATAGGTGGACTTCGTGAAAAAGTAGAGAAAGACCAATACATATCTACCATTTTGTGAGGGAGAGATGAGCTTCTACTCTATTTCTAATCACTCTATATTTTTATAATGTTGTTCACATATAGGTGAATAAAAATGCTTCATTTTTTGTGATTCACAATTTTCTATAACTGTAAACTAATAATATTTGATTTGTTTTTAAGTTTATAATGATCATAAAAGTTTCATTACAAAAATATTATCAATTGTTTTCCTCTATAACATGGATTGGATTAGTTATAAATGGAATGATTACAGAATTATGATCCTTGGACCTCGTTTTGCTCCATTTCTGATCCCTCTACGAATTCTCTTTGGAGAGAGTGTATTTTGTGCTCATATCTTCCCCATTGATGGACAATTTTTGTTTACATGTCAGTAGTCGAAGATATGATATTCAAGGAAAAGTATAATGGTAACTTAATCCCTAAACCTTAAGCCTTGAAATTGAACCCCAAGCCTTCTTTTTAGTTTTGATAAATTATCAATCGATAGAGATTTATCAAAACTAAATTATAAATTATACAACATTTATGTTGATACATTATGAATTATGGAATTATTTGGTAGTCATATATGATCGATGTTGTATTTTTAGTGCCTTCTTAGCTAAACAAAAATTAACTTTAACTTAATTAGGTGTACTTCCCTTTCTATATCTAAGGAATTTGTTCTTTAAGTTATTCTTTACGTTACAAATATTTATTCTTTGACGAGTCCTTGACAAACATTATCCCTTGAGTATCCTTTCATGAAAACAACGAATAATTGATAATGATTATATATCATATTCTTTATAAATAGGTATATATCTAACAAACAAAAATTATAGAACATTATAAAAAAACACATTTATAAAAATGGAGATACTCGACAAAATGTATACATTAATCCCGACGCGTGGGCTAAAATGTGACGGATGCAATCTTGGTAAAAACTACCATAGTGATGGTTATCGTTGCTTTCATTCTGGACTCTTCTTTCATAAAGAGTGTGCCAATTCCGATCTAGAGATTAGCAACCAGTATCATCCCCAACATTCTTTATACTTCAAAGCGGTTCCAAAAAATGAAGGCGTCTATGGCGAATGCAAGATTTGTAGAGGTAACTTGCCAAAATTGTACTACTATTGTTCAATATGTGATTTTTCCATCGATTTGATATGCGCAAAAAAGGAAGTTATCATAACAATTGAGGATGTAAAGACTCACGAACATTGTTTAACCCTTGTCCCAAAGATGGTTATGTTTACTTGTCATATATGTGGACTGCTTGATGATCGGTTCCCTTATGCATGTGAGTTATGCAAATTGAGTTTTCACAGAGATTGTGCAGAATCAATAGCAGAGGTCAACTATTCTTGTCATCCTAAACATATTCTTAAGCGCCTCACACATGTTTCCAGTTACACTAATGAAAAATGTTGTTTGTGTAGAACTAACCTTAATAACCTTTTTTATCACTGTTACGTTTGCAATTTTAGTGTGGATATCAATTGTGCAAAGAATCCACCACCTTTCACTCTTGTCCATCCTAAGGCTCATGAGCATTCACTCACTCTTATGCCGCAACGAAAATTTCTTTGTAATGCTTGTGGAATAGAGGACGACCCAAATCCGTATGTATGTCTTCCATGCAATTTTATGATCCATAAAAATTGTATTGATATGCCACGCGTCATAAAGATCAATCGTCATAATCACCGTATTTATTACAAAAGCTTCCTAGATATGGGAGATTGGAAATGTGGAGTGTGTCATAAAAAGATGACATGGACATTTGGGGCTTATTCTTGTTCAAAATGTCCAGATCTTGCTTTTCATTTGAGATGTGCCACAAAGTTCGGAATTTGGGATGGAATTGAACTTGAAGATATATCAGAAAATAGTTCAGAGGTTAAATCATATGAGATGATTGAGGAAGGAGTAATAACACATTTCAGTCACACCGATCATACTTTAAAGCTCAAAGAAAAGAGTGAGGCAAATGATAAATACATGTGGTGTAAAGCATGCTTTTATCCCATATTTCTTAATCCATTCTACATTTGCACAAAATGTGATGATTTCATCCTTCATAAAAAATGTGCGTTTCTCCCCCAGAAAAAGATAGATTCTTTCTACAAGATGTCGATTACTCTAATCACAAGACCTGATTGGAATGACCGAATATATGTTTGCAGTGCTTGTCAATACATTTTTCAAGGTTTTCATTATAAGAGTGATGATGGTAATATTATTCTCGATGTGCGATGTGGTTCAATTTCAGATTCGTTTGCTCATGAGAGTCATCCACTTCATTCGTTATACATAAACTACTCAACAGAAGAAAAAATTTGTAACGCTTGTGGAGATAAGACAACTATGGTTTTAAGTTGCGAAGACTGTGGATATTATTTAGATATTAAATGTTCTATTTTGCCAAAAATGGTCAAACACAAAAATGACATAGATCATTTTCTATTTTTATGCTATGGAGAAAAAACACGTGAACAATATTGGTGCGAGATATGCGAGGAAGAACTAGATTCAGAGCAATGGTTTTATTTATGTGAACATTGTGGCCTCACTTTTCATATAAAATGTACACTAGGAGATTTTATATGGATGAAACCAAAAACTGAGGATGATTCATCCCGAGTTTATGTTATTCCTAACAATCGTATAACTCGACCAATTTGTTACGTTTGTCATTCTCGCTGTCAATTCTCATCCGTCCTGTCTTTTTTAGAAGAAATATTTTGTTCAGTAAGATGCATCAAAAAGAAGTTTATGGAAGAGTCTGCGATTGAGCTTGATAATGATTAATCTGAACAATGTTTGTAACAAACTCAGTGTTGATACTTAATTTTACTTCAAAAATTGTGAGTACATATCATGTAAACAATATATTATTATCTGTAAAAATGATATATGTATATAGTTATATATATATATATATATATATATATATATATATATATATACACATAAAATGTTTGTTTTTTATTATATTTAATTTAAATAATCACTATCTCTTAAATCTGTACATTATCTCTTGTTAAAGTATATATTGTGTCTTATTTGTTATCAAATATATATCTTCAGAAGTTCATATCGATCTCGAATATATAAAACGTATTTTTTTAGTATACTTTCGGATATCTAATTCAGTATACATATGACATTTTCATCATTTATATTTATTGAAGAAGTTTATTTGAAAGGAATAATAAAAAATTTCTTATTTTGAAAACAACATAATATTATTATAATCTCTGAAAACCAAGTACTTAAAGCTTAAGGAAATAATATTGTCAACTCTGAAAACTGAGAAATATTTTCAAAAGCTGGTCACAAATATGATGAAGCATCATTTTCTGATTCCATGTTGTGGAGGAATGGTTACTAACGACCGATCTATTTGAAGTTTTGAATAAACCGCTTCTTCTTGTAACCATGGTGTCAATCGTATAAATGTTATTTAGCCCACATTTTATTATTGCGTAAACAAAATCTAGAAAATTCAAGAGAAGTAAACTCGCAGACATATATTAGAAGTATAATCCTAGGATCATACCCATTATTTAATCTCATGTTCACAATCAGCATGAAAACACCTTCCTTACATTATGGTTTCAATCTTTAATGACTATTGTCCTTGATAGTTTTATGTGGGTTAGTGGCTATATATGAGTTGGTTAACTCTGTTAATGTTACATCCTTTCTACTTTAACTTCCCCTACTTGTAATTCATTTTACCAAAAAAAAAAAAAAGAAAAAAAAAACATGGCCATTCCAAACATTATTAGGGCCCTTACTAGAATAATACTCCATCCGTTTCTAACTATAAACACTTTCTAGATTTTTCACACATATTAATTAAGAAAATATCTAAAAGTTGATGATGATTGTATCATTTTTGTGATTCATTATTTTTTAGAACTCTAAACCAATATTAAATAGTTATTTACCTTGAATATTTTAAATTTTAATTAATAATGCATTGATAACTTAGAACAATAATTGTTTTAAAACAATTTGTTTTTCCTAAAAGATCATATTTTAGGAACGGAGGAGGAAGTACAATATTACCTTTAGCCTTATTTGACTCAAAAAACTTATATATATATATATATATATATATATATTTATATATATAGTACGTTTATATCATCAAAATAATACAAAAAGCATACTTGTAAAAAAATGTACAAAATATTAAAATTCTTGTTAATCCGAAGAGATGTGAAACATTGAATGACATGAAATTTCAAGACTACTACTGTAAAATTATTAGATGAATAGTAACACAAGAAATTGATACGTTTGATTGGAAATCTAATCAAAAAATAAACCAGTTAATATAATTTTATACATATTATATTTATTATGTTGGTAGAGCATGTCAATTGGTGAGTCTCTAACAATAATCTTTTTCACCTACCTAAAATTTTAAAAAAAATATTAATTAATATTATTTCGTTCATCTTTGTAGAGACTCTTATAATATCAAATTATTATTACATATTTTACTAATATTTTTAGAGATGAGATACTTTTATGAGACACTTCCATTACATATGCTTTTAGCTTGGTCGTTGGGAGAGACGTTTAGGTGCGGGCATGACGGTGTGTGTTCACTTAGATTTTCATTTATGTATAAGAATTCAACAACGACTGTTACAAAACAAACAATATGAAAATATATAGACACGGAAATTTTGTCAACACAGACATATAAATATTTGATATAATAATTTTGACACCACTTAATATGATGTACTTAGGTTTTGAATGGAGATAATAAATAAGGCAGAGCAGATCAAGCAGTTCAAATATACCCAGCAGAACAAAAGCAAATTAAGCAGATATGGCATATTAAATGCAGATCAAGTTTTATTAATTTTTTATTAAAAAAGCAGTTCATTTAAAAACACTCCAAATCTCCAGCTTTTTTACTGTTCATAATGCAATACAAATATCCTTCTTATTTTTGATCTGCCACCAGATCAATTATTTTTTAATAATATTTCCTTTTTTGGAGGAAAAATAGCAGTTCCCCCACTATGTGTATTATCTGCTTTTAATCTGCCTTTAATCTGCCCTTCCATTCAAAGCCTTAAACAATAACTTCATCCTAAACGATGGATTACGTAAACATTTTTTTTTTGTTTTAACTTATTTGGAAGTTATATAAAAAATGATGTTGTAGTTAAAAAATTTTTAACCCAAAAAGAAATTACATAATCTAGCATCCTCGAGAAAATATCAATAACGTAGGCATAGAAAAAAGTGTAGTAAGAATCATCTCTCTCTATTTCTTACTCACAGTTACTAAAACCACCAAAACTTTCTCTTTCACTTCATTCTATAAGTGCAGTAAGAGACATCTCTCTCTATTTCTCACTCACACTTACTAAAACCACCAAAACTTTCTTTTACTTCATTCTATAAGTGCAGTAAGAGACATCTCTCTCTATTCGACGTCCCAACATTTGAAATCCTGAAATTATGAGTTTTCGTGACCCCAATCCATTGAGCTCACCCGATACCAATTCTGATCCTAAGAGTTTCGCCATAAACAGCAAAATCATGCTCACCACCACTGTCATAATCTTCTTTATCCTCGTTTTCATGGTTTCTCTCTACTTCTACTCTCGCCGCTCGAATCCCAGTCGTCACATTACCGTCGCGATTACTTTTTTGGCTGAACCTTCCTCCACCGCCGTTGTCACCACTCACAGCGGTCTTAACCCTTATGTCATCAAATCTCTTCCTAGTTTCACGTTCTCCGCCGCAACTGCAGAAACCACCATCGAATGCGGGATTTGCCTATCGGAGTTTGAAGATAACGATTCTGGTAGGATTTTGCCAAACTGCAAACACATGTTTCACGTTAACTGCATTGATATGTGGTTTCATTCTCATTCATCTTGTCCTCTATGCCGATCACTTATTGAGCCTTTCGTCGGAGGAGTTAGGTAAATCGACGGTGGAAGAAGTTTTGGTTTCTACGTGCATTCAACGTGGTTCCTGCTGAAGACCAAAGTTTCAAAACCTCAACTGTTTGAACATATATTATTGTGACTGCCACGTGGACGTATATTAGTTGTTCTCAATTTATTATATGTTCTTCTTTTTCAATTAATGTATTAAGACTTTTTAGGAGTTTAAGATGCATGCATGCAAGTAGAACAAAAATCTTTTTCGATTTTATTTTTAAAAATTGATTAATTACTCTAGTTACGAGATCTAGTTTGACGCATTAAACGTTTGCTTTTTGTTGTCATAACATTTTTCAAGGTCTCGTCACTTGTGTGTTGTGTACAGAAGTGATAATGGACGTGTACATTTTTCAAGGTCTCTATAATATTTATGAGCCTTTTATCAATGCATGAGAGTCATCCTATTCATTCGTGGAGATAACACAATCATCAAGGGTTTGATTTATGAGGAGTGTGATACATTCTATAGTGCATGTTTTCATAATATTTCATTTTGAATATACTTATCCCCTGTCTGTACTTGTTATTTTGTTCAAATATATACTTTCTTTGTTATCAGTAGTTATCCTCATACGGATCTAAAACATAGACTACCTGATGGAGGTCCCAATCAAAGCAACAAGAACACACTTTACTTTAATACTTTAGATAAAATTTCTCTTCCTAGATTCAAACTCTCTGACAAGGTATTTAAACAAACCAATAAAATGAGAAAGCTAACTGTATTAAATCTACAACTAAGAAAGCTGAAGAGTGAAGAGACGGGGATACAATCCCACTAGGCAATAATTTAGTTTACATACCAAACCCACATCTTTGACCTAGTTGGCACTGCGATACGCTGGTTAACGTTATGTTCTCATCACTATCATTCAACGTAACTACACGAATGTGTGGGTCGTGGCACCATCATCATCATCATTCAAGTCTCTTTCACTAAATGCTTTTTTGTGCTCTTACGATTCGAATTTGGTGTTGGTATCCTCATCAACACAAGTTTGAGGTGAGATATTAAAGCAGAATTTATCAGTTCAGAGATTCCAAAGAAAACATATGTGTCCTATCAAGAAAAAAGAAGCTAAGAAACTTGCTAAAAAGGGTTCGTAGGAAGACAAAATGGAGTGCAATATCACACAGAAGGTGAACAAGGAGTTAAGCCTGAGAAAAATGGAGAACCTAACATTCTGAAGTGAACTATAAAATCACAAAGAACAGAGAAATTAAAAAAGGAAAGAAAAAAAACTATAAAATCACGTGAAGAACAGCAAGTGAAACATTTTTTTTCTAATAGTAGAACTTTCTTTATATAAGTGTTGTTGTAATTGTGCTTAAACTAACTTTCTAGCAAAACATAGTTTGCTTTCAAAGCCAAGATCAAAGATAAATAAAATTTTACAAATTGTATCTTATATCATTAACTTTAATAAATCGAATCCTGTAGTTTACAAATTTCGAATTTACAGCCACCTAAAATATAGTATTTTCTAGATCTACATATGAACACCGCACTTGAAAGATTCACACAGACACAATTATCTTTGATTCGTAGCATTGTAATTAAATATAAAAACACTAATTTGTTTTGTCACATTACTTACATGAAAAATATTTTCAATAAATACACCTATATTATATACTTTTCCCCTCAAAAAAAACTATATACAAATCCTCTTAGTTAGTCTCTCTGCTCCAGATTTATATATATACACACTAGTAAACACAAACCACTTCACCTTAAGCAAGAGTGACACATGATATAATGACATGTATGCTCAGTTAGCATTGTACGGTATACGCGTTTGTGGAATCCACGTGTTGCCACGTAGGAAATTCCCTGGAGAGAACTCCCTTACGGCTCTAGAAGAGAGACGTCGGATACCTCTCCACCTAACCCGGCGAGACTGACCCGAACCACGACCTCTGTTGCGGTACTCAGTGTAGAACAACGTGTTGAGTGCAAACGTCTCGTTCCACTTCAACCAACCTTCTGGGTCTATCACATCATCAATCTCTGTGTTCATTATGACTGTTCTCGAATACTCCTTCCACGGCCGTCCCAAAAACGCTCTGTTCCTGTATATATACAACGAGCTTTAATTAAAATCCTATATTATGGTTAGTATTTAACTAAAGATTATAGTAGTTATATATGATTACTTGGCTTTGACGGGACGATATGATGCATCACCGATTATACGACTATTGTGGATAACAATCCCAGTAGTCTCACGCTTGTCTTTTCGTCCTTGGGCTGTGACGATACATTGTTGGTTATCCATGGGACGGCGGATGACGAACACACAGTTCTGAAAAACAGCTTTGGCATCACCGAAGACGAAATCAATGGTCCCTGAGATACGGCAGTCACGGTAGAACTGACGATGGGTGTGGACGTAAAGCGTGTCTTGGTAACCATTCATATGACAGTTGTAGAACACCGCAAAATCAGCCGAAACTCGAAGTGCAACTGCTTGGTGACGTGCGGCTCCTGCCGTGTTCTCGAACCCTATGTCCTTTGCCATGAAATAGTCCCCATTCACGGCTGCAAACACCATACATAGTTTTAGATTATATCAATAACAGATAAATTATAATAAACCATATGTAAGATGTTGTATAAAATTTTACCAACGGAGGCAGTGCGGAAGGTGCCGACACGGTTTGGTAAGAAGGCAATGTCTCCAGTGATAATCGTCTTTGTTGGTCCGTCTCCGACGAACATGACGTGAAGCATTTTTTTGCTTACCTCTACTTTTTCCTTGTAAACACCTTGCTTTATGTGAATCACAAACTTCCTTTTGTTATTCATTGGTACCATTGCCAATGCTTGTGCGATAGTCTTGCACTTACCACTTCCATCCTTTGCAACCACAACGTTCGCTCTGATTCCTTTGCTCGCTCTCATTCCTTTTTTAGGTCTACGTCTAATTCTACGTGCAAGAAGCCTCCGCGAATGCAGTGTTACCCAGGGTGGGAACTCTTCTTCCTCTGATAAGTGTCGGTCGTTTAAAGAATCCAATTTTCCAATAGGAGGATTCAATTTTTGAAGAGGATCGAATGGTCGAGTTACGGAAGAATCCGAATTTTGAGGAGGACCTAATGGTTGATTCCCTGTATAAGTTGATTTTTGAGAAGGAATCTCAGAGGAACTCAATGGTTGATTCCCGGAAGAAGTCGAGTTTTGAGGAAGTTTCTCAGAAGAAACCGCTGGTCGATTCCCGGTAGAAATTAATTTTTGAGAAGGAATCTCGGAGGAAGTCAATGGTTGATTCCCGGAAGAAGTCGAGTTTTGAGGAAGTTTCTCGGAAGAAGCTGTTGGTCGACTCTGTGAAGACGTAGATTGTTGAGGAGAAGTTTGAGAAGATTCCAACGGCCTATTATTTGAAGAATTAGTCAGCCTATTATTTGAAGAATCTAACGTTTTATTCTGAGAGGAATCCGATGGACGATTCTCGGAAGAGTCAATTGGTTCAGAAGAATTTTCAGAAGAATCCACATCCGAAGGTGGATCTTGAGAAGAATCCGATGGTTCGTCTCGTGAAGAACCCAAAATGCCTAGTCTGCCCCTTCTTGACTGTTGAAGACATAAAATCCGGTATGGGTTATACATTCGTAAAAACGGTAACTATAAAAAATGATGGAACAAACTCTATCTTTTATTTTTAGTTCATTTTTTCTTTTTTTTGTGGTTTAAACTAAAATATAACCTAAAACCATTGAACTAAAGATTGATATCAAAATATAAGTTATCTGATAAGGATTGACATGAATGTACCCCGAGAAATGGAATTGGAATACGGAAAGCCTTCAATAAACTATCAAGATTTGAGGCAATCGCTAATCCATTGCTAGTGAGATGCTGCCCCTTCCTCATGACTTTCTCCATCATCATGGCCGCTTCACTATCGATCCCTTCGAATCCATCGATGCACGTCTGTTGGTATGTGATTGATCCGCTGAGCCACACACAAAGATCCTCAACGAAGTCCGGCAATCTAGTGAACAAAAATCCCCTAAACCTATCCCTTGTTTTCCGAAGATCATCGATTGCATCATCCATAAGTTCTCTACAAGTATTAAGCGCTTCCCTTGTGTGCACATCCGCATCCGCTTTACTCTTTAGATCAATCAAACCCCTGTCGATTCCACTTCGAATCGACAGCATAGCAAGGTCGAAAGACGCTCTTATTATAGTTCGGGGATCGGGCGTCCTCACTGTTGCGAGACTCGATGTGCAATCTTCTTTATAATCGGTGGATGCACATATAATACTCACGGCAGTCCTTGTTATCACCAGCTTGCTTTCACGGTGAATCTCTTCTATTTTTCTACTAGGGCTGCTTCCATCATCGGCCTCCACGCAAATGACCATTGCTATAATGAGAGCCGTAGCACCTAACAAGACATACTTCTTCATCTTGATTGAATAGTTCCATCCATTCCACATTCTATTTTTTTTTTTGGGTTTTTTGAGAATCTTAATTGCTAAATCTGAGTTGATTTCGAAGTCCTACTTATATGTGGAAGAAGGGAGGGAAAGTTTCATATTTACCGTTAAAAAACATGAGGCAGTAATTAGATTCTCTAAAAGATTTGAAATTTGTTTCCATTGGTTTTTGCTTTACTTGCGGGGAAATTAATATTAATTCTTTGTATACCATTGGAGGTGATTAAATTACAAAATTGGATGTATAAAACGTACTTCAATTTTTTTCCTTGGTTAGATTCTACCTTCTTTCTAATTTTCTTATTGTCACACAAAGCTCTTTTCAAAAAGATTTTTAGGTTTGAAAAACGAAAAAGAGGTTAACTACATGACCGCCCACGAAAACAAGATATTAGACTTAATTAGGTCAAAACTAACTAAAAGAAATTAATGTGAGATGTAACCACACATGATTAACTTATATCTTGTAATATATTTTTTATGACTTTATAGTGTATATAAATCATTTCATAATTCCAATAAGCTAGATTAGCGCATATGCAAAGCCGCTCTATGACGGTAACAGGCTAGAACAGTAACCATACAACGATTTATAGGATCCACTTAGAAGAACTCATTCAACTTGGTGCATATATGACATATGCTTGTTTAATTTAAGTTTTCTAACACTTGCTTATTTGTGTTTATAAAAAGTCGAGATACAAGTTTACATAGTACGATCACATTTTACATTACATAAACTTCAACGTAAACTACTTCTAAATACATAAAAGACAGACAGTCATCTAAAGCTTATTCCAAGTCAAAACCGTTACAAAAAGCTTTAGCACATTTGTCGGTCTGCACATTCGAAAGCAGAGATAGAAATTATCACACTTACTTTACAAACTCACCATGCATCTTCAACATAACTTGAGGTTTACACCACTCTTATTTACGAAATTCCTTTATAAGCACCCCTCCATAGAGTTGAGCAGCCTCGTCGCAGTTAATAACTCGTCCTTTCGGCCTCTCAACCCGGTTCGGATTGCCAACAAAAGGACGGCCAACACCGAAGTATTGAATATGTGCAGTGGGGTGAGAGACAACAGGTTCTCTCATAGTTGACTCAGATGAGTACATATAAATAGCTCGACTACAGTTAATAGTAGTACTAGTCGCCTCTTTTACGGTATAAACTTTTGGACCACCATACTTGTAAGCATTTTGGCCAAAACGAGAAGGGAACTCGTCTTTGGGATCATATTGTTTAGTGGTTAGTTTAGGGGACTTACCATACACCTTATCAACCATTTCAAAAGCCTTTTGAGCGATCCTTGTATTCCTATCCTTTTGAGCCATTGCCACACAACAAAGTAGAGAAGAAAGGTCTTTGTTTAGTGTATTATCTTTCTTTCTTTGGGTTTAGTTGATAAGTAGAAGAAGGCCATTGCCCTTCTTATAGAACCAGCATATTCTTTGTAAACTAGAGCATCTCGTTACTTTTTTTATCCACTTGTATTTTCCTATGAACACTCGTTTTCTTTAATTTATTTTTATTCTGGTAAAGAAACACTCGTTTAATTTTCTTTTTGTTATATCAAGTGTTTTAATATGAAGTTTGTAAGTTCTGATATATTCCTTGTGAACAATATAGATCTCTGATACGTGTAATCATCACACAAAAATGGAATCAAAATTTCTTTAAATAGTCATGCATACAAAAAAGAAAAATTAATAAATCATTATTCCCTCAATAATGTGTACCTCGTTCAAAGGCGATGGGCGGTTTGACGGCCTACCGTATCCTTACCTTTCATTCCCATATATTAGATTACTGATATTTACCGATTTGACATATCATATGATAACTTTATCAAGATTAAATATACATATTAGTAATTAGCATCAAATTCTTCATATAAACGTAATTATTAAAGACCATCGCTCGATGATTAGTAGTATTGCTTAATCTTTTTTTTTCTTTTTAGATAGTTGCAGCACTTCTATACTGTGGCATGGTTCTAAGAAGTTGGAAGCTTATATTTGTTGAAGAACAAATTAAATCATAAGCATCTTTGGTAACTCTTGTCGAGAACACCCACCCTATTTTCCAACATGTAACCCAATTTTTTGTTATATGCTCTTAAATGTTTTAAGAATGATGTCTCACGTGTCTACATGTCAAAATTAATTTTATATTAGTGAATGTAGTTATGATTGATTTCACATATATTAAAACGCTGGTTGTATATAAAAGTCTACTCTAACATATGAATTGTTGTATGATGTTAAAACCAAAAAAAAAAAGAATTGTTGTGTATAAATACATTAGAAAAGATTGTTAATTTCATTTATCATGGTGTAACATAATTGTGCATTATGATATAAGTACAAATGAAGGTTTGTCGATGACTTTCTAAAGTTGTTTTTCTAGTTCAAAATTGCCGAAACATTTTCAATCTTTTTTTCAGCAATCCACATAACTTGCTATCTTCCTGAAATATAACTTATAACTCAATAAGAATAAAAACATCTTACGAGAACTTAATATCATATTCTGTGTGAAGAGAATAATTAGGGTGCATGAAAATGTAAGAATAAAGAGATATGTTAGGTTTGGTTTTATAATTAACAAATACTGTATAGTAAATAGATTTCGGGTCTACAAAGCAAGTTTTGTGTCGTTTGTTTTTTCAAAGTAAACTTTCAGATTGTTCCTGAATCCAATCTTCAATGTTCTTCTCTTTTTCATTTTCGGTGTATAACTTCCAAACTTATCTTTCTCTTTGGTTTCCTCATACACTATGTACATATATTTAATAAACAGTCATTTGAAATGGTTAGTATAATTGTGTTTTAGTTAGACTTTAGAGGGTTTTTTTTCCAGAGTTTAATGTATTAAGTTTCTAAATTCTCGACGAAGATAATATTTTAATTATTTAATCACAATCTTAATTATATCATTCCGTTACCAAAACATGTCTATTTCTGAAACATATTCATC